GGGCCACCGACTCCAGGGAAAACCAGCTCTGTGCCAGAGCCACCTCCCCATGGAGGGACAGGGACAGGGCCACCCCTCCCCGGCCCATCCCACCTTCCGGGAGGTGTCCATGTGCTCCAGGTCGCGCCGGCGGAGCCGCACCCAGCGCCGGCGCCGGTTGGTGTGGTACATCTTCTCCGCCGGCACCCAGGCCTTGGGCCGGCGCTCCGGGGGGATGGTCAGCCCGTATTCCCAGCCTGCAAGAGCGGGAGACACCCGGGTGAGGACCCCCACCCCCCTCCCCCTGTCCCACCAGGGACCCTCAGCAGGGAAGGAGTGTCCGGATCCAAGGAGATTTCCCGGTTTGTTGCTCCTGCCCCTGGTGGTCCTCAGTGGATGTGTCCCTCTGGGATGTCCAAGTGGTGGATCCCTGGTGGCCCTTGGTGGTCCCCATGGATGTGTCCCTCTGGGATGTCCAGCTGGTGTATCCTTGGTGGTCCCCCATGGATTTGTCCCTCTGGGATGCCCAAGTGGTGGATCCCTGGTGGCCCTTGGTGGTCCCCCATGGATGTATCCCTCTGAGATGTCCAGCTGGTGTATCCTTGGTGGTCCCCCATGGATGTGTCCCTCTGGGATATCCCTCTGGTGGATCCCTGGTGGCCCTTGGTGGTGCCCATGGATGTGTCCCACTGGGATGTCCCTCTGGTGGATCCCTGGTGGCCCTTGGTGGTATCCCATGGATGTGTCCCTCTGGGATGTCCAGCTGGTGGATTCCTGGTGGCCCTTGGTGGTCCCCATGGATGTGTCCCTCTGGGATGCCCAGCTGGAGGATCCCTGGTGGCCCTTGGCTCAAAGTCACAGCCCTGGGGACTCTCTGTCCTCCCTCCCTCGGGCCACCCCGACCCCTGTGACCATCTCTGGCCTCATGTTTTCCGTTTCTCTCGCACCAGAATTTCAGGAAGCTGTCCCTGGACTATCCCAGCAGCCAGGAGAGCGCTGCCTTTGGGAATTCCCACCCCCAGCCCGAGCAAGAGGGTCCCCCAGGGCCTGACCCCCCTCTCCTGATCCAGCAGGGATCCAGGACATGTCTCATCCCTGGGGAGGGAAGAGCAGGATGGGGGATGAGCACAGGGCCCCCCAAGTGCTCCCTGGTACCTTTCTCATCCACAGCTCTGTTGAGATCCGTGTCCCACTCCAGGTCTTCCCATTTCCAGCCCGGAGGACACTCAATCTCCTCCTTGGGCAGGACCTTCTCCCCGTTCTGTGGGACACAGGGGTGTTGTCAACAAAAGGATCCATAAATCCCCCCTGATCTCCAGCACTCCCAGCCCGGGGGGGTGCCCAGCTCCAGCATTCCCCCCCAGCTCCAGCATTCCCCCCCCAGCGCCAGCATTCCTCCTTCCCACTCCAGGCTACAGCAGTGTCCCCCCCCCGATCTCCACTTCACCCCCCAGCTCCAGCATTCCCCCCCCAGCTCCAGCATTCCCCCCCAGCTCCAGCATTCCCCCCCCAGCTCCAGCATTCCCCCCCCAGCTCCAGCATTCCCCCCCCAGCTCCAGCATTCCCCCACCAGCTGCAGCATTCCCGCTTTTCCCTCACCACGTCGGTGTAGGCGTCGGTCATGTGGATCCACTGCCCCCCAGGGAGCCGGACCTGGTTCTCAAACACCTCCTCCACGAAGCTCAGGTGTCCTGCATCCACGTCATGGAGCAACCTGCATCCCAGGAAACATCCCATGGGATTGCCCATCCCACCTCCACAGCATGGAGCAACCTGGGACACATCCCAGTCAGGGATTCCCCATCCCACCCTCCACGTCGTGGAGCAACCTGCGTTCCAGGAGACATCCCATGGGATTGCCCATCCCACCTCCATGTTGTGGAGCAACCTGCATCCCGGGAAACATCCCATGGGATTCCCAATCCCACCTTCCACATCATGGAGCAGTCTGCACTCCAGAAGATATCCCATGGGATTCCACATCCCACCCTCCATGTTGTGGAGCAACCTGCATCCCGGGAAACATCCCATGGGATTGCCCATCCCACCTCCACATCATGGAGCAACCTGCATCCTGGGAAACATCCCATGGGATTCCCCATCCCATCCTCCACATCATGGAGAAACCTGCACTCCAGGAGACATCCCATGAGGTTCCCCATCCCACCCTCCATGTCATGGAGCAACCTGCATCCCAGGAAACATCCCATGGGATTGCCCATCCCACCTTCCACATCATGGAGCAACCTGCATCCTGGGAAACATCCCATGGGATTGCCCATCCCACCCTCCCAGGCACCAGCACAGCCTGGGGCCGTGCCCAGCATTCCCAAACCTCTTCCACCTCAGACTCCAAGCAGAGCTCCCGGGAGCCCTGAGGCCAAGCCCAAAGCAGTGAAAGCCCTGCCAGTGCCCCACGGGGATCCCACTCCCAAACCTCCTCAGCCTCGGAGAGCCCGACCCTCCTCCCTGCTCCGGGGGCCGGTTCTCCATGCGGATCTCTGGGATGAGCCCCAAGGGAGCACCCCGAGGAACCCCCACGGCACCCCAGACCCCCAGCCCGGGCTCTGCTCCGTGTTTTGGGATGTCCCACTCACGTCCTCTCGGGGCAGACGAACCAGTCCCCGGCCCAGGCCCAGCCGGCGGAGGGTCGGAAGCTGTCCTTGGGCAGCCGGATCCGGCCCGTCACGTCCGAGTACTTGGGGTACGTGAGGCCCGTGGTGCCCCAGTTCCCCACCAGCGCCAGCTTCGTCTGGTTCTCGTACTGGGGGGAGCAACAGCAGGCGGGGTTTGGGGTGGGAGGCGCAAAATCCCGTCGGCGACCCTTTGGAATCCCACCGACGATCCCCGCGGGGCCCCATCCCCAGGATGGAGCTCCTGGGAAAAGCCAACCCCCAGCCCCACCCCACCATGGGCACCCCCAGACTCCCTCCTGGCCAGCAGGAGGATGGAGATGGGAAGGGACAAGGTGGATTTACGGCTCATTCCCAACTTTCTCCTCAACCTCCCAGGCTGGATATTGATGGAATTGGCTCCCTCTCCTAAAAGATTTTAGGGAATAACATGACTTGTGGTCCAGCCCATTCCCTCCCCTCCTGCAGGCAGATGGAGATGTGAAGGGACAAGGTGGATTTATGGTTCATTCCCAACTTTCTCCTCAACCTTCCAGGTTGGATATTGGTGGAAATGGCTCCCTCTCCTAAAAGTTTTTAGGGAATAACATGACCTGTGGTCCAGCCCATTCCCTCCCCTCCAGCAGGAGGATGGAGATGGGAAGGGACAATGTGGATTTATGGCTCTTTCCCAACCTTCTCCTCAACCTCCCAGGCTGGATGTTGGTGGAAATAGCTCCCTCTCCTCCCAGTTTTCAGGGACTGACGTGACCTGCGGAGCTGCCGCCCGCCCCGGGGAGGCCCCAAATCCCGGGATATCCCCGTGGATCACTCACGGTCTCGGCGAACACGGAGAGCTTTCCCTCGGCAAACTGGTTGAACTCCTTCTCGTCCACGGCCAGGCCGAACCAGAGCCGCACCCGGATCTGCGCCGGGATCCGCGGCCCCGGAGCCTCCTCCTGCGGGTACTGCCCGGGAACGGCCCCGTCAGCACCCCCGGGGGGAGCAACGGGAATGCTCGGGGTGGGAGGGCGGGAATGCTGCCCCGGAGGGGGGGGAGGTGGGACACAGAGCACAGCCGGGAATTGGGAGAACTTTGGGGATCACGGAATCGCGGCGGGAAGAGACCTTTGGGATCATCCAGTCCCGGTCAGCAGCCTGGAAATGTGTTCCCAGGGGACCCCGAGGAGCTTCAAAGGCCCAGGGGTTGGAGGCAGGGAGAGGGGCGGGATCAGGGACGGGGACAAAGGCAGGGGCAGGGAAAGGGTCAGGATCAGGGACAGGGAAAGGGACAAGGTCAGGGACAGGGTCAGAGACAAAGTCAAGGACAGGGACAGGGTCAGGATCAGGGAGAAACTCAAGGACAAGGTCAGGGACAGGGTCAGGATCAGGGACAGGGTCAGGATCAGGGACAAAGTCAGGGACAGGGAAAGGGACAGGGAGGGGGACAGGGTCAGGATCAGGGACAGGGTCAGAGACAAAGTCAAGGACAGGGACAGAGTCAGGATCAGGGACACGGTCAAGGACAGGGACAAAGTCAGGGACAGAATCAGGGACAGGGATAAGGTCAGGGACAGGGATAAGGTCAGGGACAGGGATAAGGTCAGGGACAGGATAAGGGTCAGGGACAGGGAGAGAGTCAGGGACAGGGAGAGAGTCAGGGACAGGATCAGGCACAGGGATAAGGTCAGGGACAAGGTCAGGATCCTGGACAGGGTCAGGGAAAAAGTCAAGAACGGGGACAGGGACAGGATCAGGCACAGGGAAAGGGACAAGGTCAGGGACAAGGTCAGGGACAAGTCAGGGACAGGATCAGGGACAAAGAAAGGGACAAGGTCAGGGACAGGATCACGGACAGGGAGAAAGTCAGGGACAGGATTAGGCACAGGGATAAGGTCAGGGACGAGGTCAGGATCAGGGACAAAGTCAGGGACAGGGACAGGATCAGGGACAAAGTCAGGGACAGGGAAAGGGCCAAGGTCAGGGAAAAGGTCAGGATCAGGGACAGGATGAGGGACAAAGTCAGGGACAGGGAAAGGGCCAAGGCCAGGGCCAAGGTCTGGCTCAGGAACAGGGATAAGTCAGGGACAAGGTCAGGGACAAAGAAACAGGGACAAGAGCGGGGTCAGGGACAAGGACAAGATCAGGGACTGGGTCAGGATCAGGGCAAAGGCAAGGACAGGGACAGGGACAAAGACAGGGACACCCTTCAGGGTCAGGACACCAAACCCGACCCACACATTGAGCAAAACCAGAAATAATCCACCAGAATTTTCCCTCAGTGCCCTTTTTTCTCTCTCTCAGCCACTTCTCCCTAATCCAAGTGCTGCTGGTTTTCCATCCAGAGCTCAAGGGTAGAAAAAAAAAAATCCCAATTTACGGATTTTAGCTCATTTTTGCTGCCAGCTGGGTTTGGGCTCTGGGGCTTTACTGGGTTTATTTTATTTGACTTTTTTTTTTTCAGAGCTTGTTCAGTGCTGATTCCCTGCTCCCGAGCTGGCACCAGCCAAGGAATGTCACGGGAGACGGGAGAAACTCGGGAATTGCCTGGCAGGGGGACGGCAGCTTAAATTTCTCGGGGTGGCAGAGGGTCAGGAATTGGGGGAAAAAACGTAAAAACAATTTAAAAACGAGATATATTTTCTAAAAAAAAGCATCGTCTGGGCCAAACCTTCACTGCCCTGGGACTGCAGAATACAGGGAGCTACTCCTGGGACCTGCTGCAGATATATACTACCCTTTCCCCAATTATATATATATATTTAGCTTATATATATAGTTACATTATAAATATATTATATAATATACATTTATATTATATATTATATCATATATATAAAATATATAAATATAATTAATATAATTATATTATATTATATA